CATATGCAGTATATAAGTTTACAGGTTTTAGTTACTACTTATACATATGTATAAGATAATTTTCATCAAGAAATGCATAATACAAATAAATGCCTTTGGGGGAAGGGCACAATTACAAAAAGAAGTAAGTATTGTTAAGTAAAATAATGGAAGCATCTATAGGCAACACAGAGAAAAGTTACTAAATCTAATAGGTTTGACTTCACATGGAACAACATAGTCTATAAGAATGCTTCTTAATGCAAGTGACAACTGAGCTGTATAGGATAAAGAAGAGTTGGCCAGATAAAATTTCAATAAAGGTCAGTCAATAAGAAAGAATATTAGTAGCAATGACTGACTTGGAGGAAGTAAAGTGGAAGGTTTTTTGTGATTAAGGAGTTGTTATTTAGCAAAATATAAGTAAATGTCAATTTCCTGAGTTAAGTAATGATTAAATGACTGGGCTTTTCAAATTTGTCTTAAATATTGATTTAAATTGTTTGTTATGGTTTTAGACATAGATTTTCAAACCTATGTTTGCTTAAGTGAAATCTGTTGACACTTAGACACTAGGTTATTTTATCTCATTCTCAGTGGAAGAAATATTTACTTAATGCCACCAAGAATTTGGCTCTGAGCTTGTGTTCCAAATTAAAATGACCAAGAAAATGGGAAAGTAGGAGAACTAGTTAATCACATATATTATAATATTTACAGAAATACAAAATGGAGGGTCCTGTCTTCTAGAAGAAATTTGTTAATCTCACACTGTCAAGGTAGAGAGAAATCAACCCTGATTATCATGAATACACTGAATGGTCAAGCAGATGTGTGCTTTATTACAGGAATAGGTTATTAAATGTATAGCCTAAAAGAATTTTCTTATATTAACAAAACTGTTTGTCTTGCTCACTATTTGTAATTGACTGCATACTTCTTTGGGACCCTAAGATTGAGAAAGAGGTGTAGCATTAAAGATGGGTATGAGTGGAAATATATATTCTGCCAGATTCATGTGCCTACTGAATCTGTGCTCTAGGGTACTTCAACTTGTTTGAGTTTTTGGTTGTTGTTTTTTAATTTTACTTTATAATCTTTTAACATGTCTGTCTTATTCTGTTACTTTTTTTTTATATATATAT